GCGGGAAGCCTGCCTCTCCCTCTCCCGCTCCCCCTGCTTGTGTTCCCTCTCTCGCTGTGTCTCTCTCTGTCAAATAAATAAATAAAATCTTAAAAAAAAAAAAGGCAGCCCAGAAAAAGAGGAACAGTGCCACACCCTGTGAGCCAGGCTGACCTGCAGTATCAGCTGGGACTCCTTGTGGGGTCCCTGATGAGGAAGGAGGGTTGGGGGTCCTGCAGGTTCACACATGGGGGCTCTGCAACCGAGGACCCTGGGGTCTGGATATTGAAGTGACACATGAATACCCACAGGCAGAGAAGGCCCTGTCTGCTACTTCCATAGGGACTTACTTTTATTTGTCCTTAAAACTTTTTATTTGTAGGGTACCTGGATGACTCATTCAGTTGAGTGTCCAACTCTTAATTTCAGCTCAGGCCGTGATCCTGCACTGGGCTCCACGCTTAGCGTAGAGTCTGCTTGTCCCTCTCCCTCGCCCTCTACCCTGCCGCACACTCCCACTTGTGCACTCTCTCTCTCATAAGTAAATAAATAAAATCTTTCAAAAGAACTCTTTGTGCCAAGTAATTTAACATAGCATAAACTTTTTTTGCTCAAATTATGTATATAATTTCTTCAGTTATCAATACAGAGACTGAAGAGGCATAATTTCTTTCCATTTCATAATTCCTACACATTTGTAACAACACGTATAATCAATTTCCCAGCAAGTAGTTGTTAAGCTAAGTGAGACAAACAAAGGAAGTGCACAATTACTAGAAGATGTTTTCTCATAAATGAAATTATCACCATGGCAATTATTCAACTGGTAAAGGTTTTCCATTTCAATCTGTGCTTTTTAAGCTATTCTTTTGGATTTGAATTGTACAATTGTATTGTGCTTCAAACAAACATATCCCAGATCATAGTTCATTGCTCTGGAATAAATTTTACTATATATATATACTATATATATATATATATAAATTTTACTAATATATATATATTCTTAACGATGAAACCCAATATATATATATTGGTCTGGCTATGAGCCATCCTGTCTATGTTTATGTAAAGCCAAACCATATTATCATAGATTGCTTGCACACCTACAAAAAAATATCTAGGGCTTACTAGTGGCCCACATCAGCCTGTGAAACCAGTATAATTTTGTCTTTAGAAATTCCATCTTATGGTCTACCCATTCAAAACAAACAACTGTCTATTGGTGGTCTCCATTGCAAATCTCCTGTGCAAGAAAGCATGCCATCTGCTGCACTCCATCTGGTCGCAGCCCCTTGTTGAGAGGTAGGCAATGGTGATCCTCAGTACACGGTGCTGCACAAGACACCAAACCCTGAGACTGTTCCCCAGACCTTTCTTTCCTGATCACTTACCATTGGTCCAGGTTGGGCAGCCAACCTGAGTCAGAACAAGCAAGGAATCATGTTGGAAATCTGGACGAAGAGAGAGTCAAGTTGGTCTCTCTAGGATGAAAACCACAGGAAGTGTTGACAGTAAGAGAGAAGAAAGGAACAGATGTACACAAAGAGAAGTCAAGGAGAGAAGGTAGATGAGGGAGAGTGATGTCACTGAAGTGCCTCATCTTCCTGGCAGCCAACTGCATTCCTGACCCTGGATTCCATGAGATACCACCGGGAACTTATAAAGAATTCCCCCCCTTGGCTTAAGCTAGTTGAAGTTTACTTGAACCAAGATATTTCTAATTAGCACAAGTTGGTGTTGGAAGCCAACATAAAATAAGATAATAATATCATTTTAAAAATTCAGTTTTCCAGAAGAGGAAACAGAGAACAGGTAGTTAAGTCCTTACACGTGATCACACACCAGGCGTCCTGGCCCCTAGCCCAGAGGATTAACTTCTCCATTGTTTGGCTTCTCCAAATGGACACAGAGGGAAAGGCCTGATCTGGTGTCTTCACCACACCACTTGCCTGGGGCTAATTATTGACCTTCAGTTTCTTAATTTGTGAAATGAAGATAGCTATAATTGTGAAAATAGAGTTGTTGCAAGGGTCAGGGAGATAACATGAGTATCATGTTGGCCCAATAGGCATCCAGTGAAAGTTATTTCCAACCTGTTTCCAATTTTTCACTCATAAGTAATTGCAGTCATTGAAGCTCATGGCATATTGTAAAGGGTGGTGGGAACCAGCATCCTTCTGCATTTTTACTGTTAAATAAGGTGCTGAGATAGACATTCATCATTATGGTAAGGAAACATTCTTCTATTCCTGGTTTACTACAAAGATTTTTTTTCCTCAGAAATTGATGGCAGATACTATCAAGTAACTTCAGCTTCCAGCAACAACAAAAGCCATATGATTTTTGTCTTTTGATTTCGTAATTTATTTTAATAATAGAATACCTAATATTAAACTGTCCTCAATTTCCTAAAATCAAATATCTTTAATCACTTTGCATTGTTCTGGGAATGGATTGGTAGGTTCTGGTGTTTAAATTATGATTTTTTAAATATATGAGTGAAATGTCTTTAGTTTCCTTTCTTTTACTTTTTTTCCAGATTCCATTTTGTGGTGATGGTAGCTCATAATGATGAATTAAGAGGTTTTCTATCCTTTTCTGATTTCTGGAACTATATAAATAGCGGAGGGGCTTTCTATCCATGGAGGGTTTGAAAGAATATGTCTTTAAATACATATATATATATATACAAATATATCCAGTCCCAGCATCAATTTTGTATATAGTCCTTTTTCCTTATAGTTTTCTAGTTCATATTATGCTTATTTGTCTATTTAAGTTTTCTGCTTCTTCCTGAATAGATTTGAATGATTTATATTTTGTTAGAAAATCTACAATTCACTGAAATATTCCATTTTTTTAACATTGAGCTGAAAATTGTATTCTTGTGTAATATTTTCTTCTACTCCATATCTGTGGATACTTACTGCCTGCTGAGATTACAATTTCCCTTTCTAGGCCTTCGGGGGCCACCTTTAAGTGAAGAGGGTACTTGGCCAGACATCCAGACATCTCCATCTGGATGGTCACAACCCCACCATCATGCTAGAAGCATCAGCTGTAATGCTTGGAGTACAGTTAGAGTGGGCAAGCCTGTATTGGGGTAGAAGCAAACTGTGTTTATATATACAAGATTGTGGTCACCATGTTGGGGACTGGTCATTTATTGAGCTGGTCAGGAGAGAGCACTGAGGGACAAAGCACTAGAGGGGCACACTGGCCTCAAGGACTCTAAGACGTCTGATTATTCTATGAGCTTCTCCATCCACAGTGCACCTTTGCTGAGATTCCCTTCACCTCCAGTCTCTTCAGAGTCAATAACATTTGTATGTTATTTCCTGCAAATAGAACTGACCACTTGAAATATGCCAATTTGAAGTGTTGTTTATAATTATGCTCATTCTGTGGG